TTCTAGAAGGGTAAGGCCCTGGAGGCAGAGTTCAAGGACTCCTACCTCCGAAAGAAAAATGGAAACAAGCCTCCTGAAAGAGCAAGTCCATCAGGGCAGTCCGAGGAATACATTCCTGGGGAAGACATTACCCCGGGGGGGGTACGACATAGTAATAATGAAGCTGAACCAATTGGTCGGATCAGCCAGATTGCTCCCCGGGTATCCGAGCCATGTAGATATTACATTACCACTAGTTATTACAACATCAGTGTAAAAAAGATGATGAAATATATATGATGAAATGGTTTCAGTAGACAAGACAAGTACTCAGAAAATAAAAAGCAGGTTATTCATTTAAAAAAAAAAGGGGCTTTGCGTCCCCAAGGACTACAGTACAGTTCAAAAAAGAGAAAAAGAAGTTTCATCTAGCCTCAGGCATCTCTAGCACGTCACTACAAGGAGAATCGGTACAGAAGGGGAGAGCAGCTTCGGGAGCAGGTAGAGCCAGGGCAGAATCAGCAACAGGCAAGGTTTGAGAAATGTTGGAATCGGGGCCAGAAGGGGCTGGCTCCGGAAGGGCCTCATCAGAGGGGACGAGAATTACCACCTCAGGTGGGTCTTCCAAAAAGTTGTATCAGTATTAGGGCTGCACCCTCAGCAGCAACCTCGGCCTCGGCCTGTGCCATCTCCACCGATGGCACGTAGTTGTGCATCTGGAAGAGTGGGGAGTCTGGAAGCACGTCGACAGCTCGGAGCGCCTCATCCCAGCCCTTTTTGAAGAACTCTTTGCTGTTCTCCTCGAGGGCGGACAGTATGTCGTCGGCAAATTCCTCTCGAATTTGCTCTTTAGTTTTCCTATTCTTCGCTTCCGCCTTGATCCTGTCCAGCTCCTGGGTCAGAGCCAGGCAAATATCCTCTGACCCGATAGCTCTATCCTCGGCCGCAGAGAGCCGCTGCGTCTGCTGTGTGATCCTCCTCTCAGCATCGGCCAAGGCAGCACTTAGCTTTTCAGCGTCGACCTTTGCCAATTCGCTGTCCTTGAGGAGTTGCTCAATCTGAGCAGCCTGCCCTGCGAGGGTGGAGTCCCTGGGAGCCACGTCTTCCTTAGCACTGGCCAGGGCTCCTTCAGCCTCTTCCTTCTGCTTCTGGGTCCGTTGGAGGTCCATCCTGGCTGCATGATATCGCGCAGCGATTACGAAAATTTGTTGAGTGGCTTGCGAAGGAAAGAACTTGGTCAATTATAGGAGATACGCCAAGAAAAAGCTGAAACAAAGATGAATTTACCACCAGGGAATTCTGAATGATGGAACAGAACAATGTGTTCATTGTCCGCCCTCTATAAGCCTCCATGTCGGCCTCGAAATGGAGCGTCTCGCTCATTGCGTTGGTGACATAGGGGTCCTACAGAATGGAATCATCGACCCTGATCACCCGGTTCATATGATCAATGGCCCGAGGATTCCACTCTGCAACTTCTACTATCTGCGGAGGGGGAGGTGGAGTCTGCCTCTGCTGCTGCTGTTGTTGTTAGGGTGAAGGGGGTAACCCACGGCCTCTCCCGCTTGGTTGTTGAGCGGAGGGGGCCCTGGATCCCCTGCCCGAGCCGTCGTGCCTTTGCTTGGTCCTCCTCGACTTGAGGATCTCGGTCCCGCACTTGACTCCGGCCAGCGGCCCTCGGAGGCGGGGGGTTGGCGCTGGTACCTATTGATGGGGCACAACTAGTTGACCTCCGTCCTCTCCCGGCGGCAAGGGTCTGCCTCTATCTCAGGAATCTCAGATCTATACGGGGCATTCAGGACATGGCTACCTCAAAGGCGTCCTCTGCATCTAGAGACTGAAGGATGCAGAAGTCAGGCTACGAATCTCTCCCAGAAGTCCCAACCTCGGCATGTGAAGGAACCAAAACCTCTCTGGCCCCGGACTCCTCAACTTCAAGAACACCCTCTACTTCCTCCTTAGTAGCCCTGTCGGGGTCTTCCTCCAAGTTCTGCTTGGCCTCTTGTTGCACCGTCTGATCGAAGAGTTCAGACCACCGCAAAGGGTCGAAAGATTGGAGGAGCTGTGAGAACTTTTTGTATCCAGCTGAGTAGTTCAGAAGAATGTGAGCAACCTGACCGAACCCGTCGTCGCCAACAAATCTCCAAACAGCGACGAGGTCAGGGAAGTTCACCAAGGACCGAGGGGCAGGGGCAACTTCCCGGGCGGAGACGTCTGCACAAGAAAGAATGTTATTAACACTTCTAAAAAATCCCAAGGATAAAAATAGTAGACTTGGAGAGGCCGATGTACTTATCGTTCTCCATTCAAAAGGGCACATCAGGCCACTGTACTTGGGACCGGTCCCCGCTGTCAAGATCTACTGAAGATCAAAAGGTCATCCTTGTATCTTTTGTCTGAGTCAAGGAGATGAGTTACAAGGTACATGGAGAGATCCCTGACTTTGAGGTAGAAATTCTGCTGAGGCATGACCCTCAATAGGGAGTAGCAAAAAAGGATATTATTGAGCCCAACATTTACCCCGAGACGGTTGTTAAGCTCTAAGACTCCCATTATTATCCTAAATACGTTAAGGCAACACTGCCCCGGGAAGAGTTTGAAATGGGCGAGGAATTAGAGGAGTAGAGGAGGCAGGGGGAACCTAATTCCACCCTCTATGATTGCCTTGGTGAAAAATGACATCTCATTCTCGGCCCTGAGAGTACGGTTATGCAAAACTGGGTCGTACTCATCTATACCTACATTTGGGGGAATGCGGTATCGACCCCTAAACCTATTAATCTACTCGTCTTCCTTCACTTTGTACTTCCTTGGCTTCGAGGAACTGACCTGGGGATCCTCGGTGACAGGCCGATGTCGGGGTATCTCCAAAGAAGATAAAAACTAAAGAGGAAGGACAAAGTTTTTCTGCGAAGATCCCTCAGGGGTTTCTTGAAGGTTGGTCACACAATGACAACCAGAAACACCTCCGGTTACCGGGGGATAAAAAACAAACTCAGAAAGACAGAAAGAAAGGAGATACAAGGACTCACCAGAACGCGAACGAAGGTTTCTGAAGGGCTCGAAGTGGTTCCTCTCTCTAGAAGGTTCAAAAGTAAGAGGGTGTTTGCTGGACTAAACTCCGGTGACGACTGACTGGTAGACGACATGACTAAAGGGGGTCTCTGGCAAAGTTTTCAGGAGAAAGCTCTCTGAGTTCGAAATAGCAAAAGTGTGGGAAAGAGAGAGAGAGCCCATTTATATAGTACACATCCCCATCATTAGACACGAAGCATGAAGAGGCACATTTAATGCGCACGACCTCCTAAGCAGCAGAAAACGGCTGGAAGTAATGATGGAGTGGTTGGGGCAGTTGCAGAACCCTTCGTCTTCTTATAACGCGTGCCCTCGGCGTCAGAAGATCGAAGGCTGGGGGGCAGTTGATGGGACATTTCCAGACACTCCCAGATGATGCACGTATATTCGACGTCAATGGAGACACCTGCTCTAATACTGACACGTCTTCGTGATTTTTTAACCCCCTGTCCCGAGGATACTATTTACAGGGATCAGGGATCCCCAAACCACCATGGACCAACACATATTCCTCGGCAGTTTTGGGTACATCGGTCCTAAATCATGCTAGTCCTTTGGCACCGAGGGATATCTATCGCGTCGACGTTTCTGCACCTACAGGCTATTGATGGATAGATCACTAGCCTAGGCAAGGCTAGACTAACCACCATGACCTCGTCTTACTCAAATGGTGTCAGGAGGCACAAGAAAGCAGAAGGTTCAACCAAAGGGGAATGGGCACGTGGCGTATTATGTCAGATCAGAGACAAAAAAACCAGAATGCCCTTGCTGACACACAAATTGGGAAAACAAGTATTTAATGCACCTTTCCCTTGATAAGACATCATTTAATGCATGAGGGCTCGGAAGTGAAAGGTAATAAATGTCCCAAAGCCTAGGCATTTAATACACCCCCGCCGAGAGAAGATCATTAAACGTTCGGCAGACCGAGGAGAAAACATTAGTTGCTCGGGGCCCCGAGCAGTAAAGAATAAGATCATTACATATAGAAATTGGTGTGCACGCTGTCCACTCCCAATGATTACCTACTAGCTATGCTGTTAGCAATGATGAGTTTTTAAGGTATAAATAGTCCTCACAAACACAGAAAAGGGGTACGCAACTAACCCTCTCTCAACCATCGTACAATATTTTCTTCTTTCCCTTCTCTAAAAGAACTGACTTGACCGTCGGAAGGAATACGCCGAAAAACACTCCGGCGCCCTTCTAACCAGTTTTCCTTTGTTTCAGGAACCTCTTTCAGTTTTCCATGATCATTCAGGCGACTCGTATCAACGATTGATTATCCACCTTAGACCCTCACAACCTCTTCAACTAGCGAGACCAATCACCCAATTTGAATACGTGTTTACCGCGAAAGAGATCTATTCTAGTATTTATATTGTGCAGGATTTTGCACCCACATTGCAAAATTGCGAAATATCAGTCATCCTCTGAATATGTTTTCGTATTTAGCAAATTTTAATGCTGAAAGAAAGATGTGGATTACGTGGGACCAAAGGCTGCAAGTTTCTGTAGTGGATCAGCATTCTCAATCTCTCACCATTGAAGCTTCCTTTCAAAACTCTGAATTTTTTTGGATGACTTCTGTTTAAGCGGGCTGTGAAGTGGTTATTCGTAGGGAGTTATGGGCGCACTCAAGGACGATGGGTAATACGATTTTGCCATGGATGGTCATCTTCTTCTGCGAGATTAGGGGGTAATCCTGCTAGTTTTTCCATGATGTGATAAGGTGAAAACATTGGGAATTTTTTTTCCAAGTAGGTGTTGTTTATGCTCTCAAAGTGAGGAGTCTAAGCAGCACGTATTTGTGAGTTGTAGATTTTCTGATTGAGTATGGGCAAGTTTGGCAAACTTCATGGGTTTTCGAATTTTTAATGAAGAACCCCCTATTTTAATTGGATAATCCAAATCCTGAATGCAACAAGAACATCTCCAAACAATAAATACAAACTTTTCCCTTTTTTTCTTTGGTTATGCAGCTTCATATATTATTTATCAAACAAGTCATGAATATAGAGGTACAAAGTGAATAAATATCGAACTTTACAAATCAAATAACCAAGTCAAAGTTACACACCATGAACATTATACAAGGTCTCACAATCTTTACTAAGAATCTCACGGCAGGAGAACGGTGAGCCCAACAGATATTCCGAACAGGAGAATTAACAGTCCGGTGAAGTTCATTATGAGTGCTTCTTGACTGCGTTTTTGGCTTATGAAAATGAATTTCTCAACCAAGCCTGTCTCAGCAGTCAGAATTGCCATGAAGAAGATGATGATACCAAACAACACGTGCCATGGAGCGAGCTTAGTCTTTCTTGAGGACTCTGTACCAGGGTACAAGAAGGAGAAGGTGGCCAAGAGAAACTAAGAAAGAATTAAAACTTTTGGTTAGCATTCAAAGTTCAATAGATAAAAGAATGGCGAGTTCTAAATTTTTTTGTAGTGACAATTTTTCAAGATGATGAGCAAGATTTCAGTTTGCAAGGAAAGGTTCAAAGTTTGAAGTGTAAATTATGCTTCGACCCACCTCAACTATGACTTTGGCCTCACTTTGTCCCCTCAGCTATTCACTTTCACATTGTCCCCTCAACTAGTTCAATTAGTTGCACATTGCCCCACTAAACGTCGGTGATGATTTTGGACAGAAAATGTCCATATGTATAGTAAAATCCACCTTTCTAATGTCTAAAAATGGGGCAATATGATACCAATGACCTTAACTGAGGGGACAAAGTGAGATAAGGAGCATAACTTAAGGTGTCAAAGTGTAACTTGTCGAAGTTTAAAACACTACACTTGGACTTGGTCACAACAAATGAAGAATCCACAATAAAAAATTTTCAAAAAGATTAATATACTAAATAAGAGATGGTACCTGCAAACCAAATAGGCAGATGGTAGACATGCCCAGCCAAGAATGCAAGGTGTACATATCTTGAATTCCAACCTCATGGTGAAACTTGAAAACAGCATAAATCCCCAGAATTCCACAAATGAGTGCAATAAAATGCAATGTTGCATGAAATACTTTCTGCACCTCTTTTTTTGCTGGGACAGTCTTGTATGCCATGATAGCTGTTTCAAAACATGTTCAGTTAATTTACGGTATTTGCTCATTTTGGTTGTCCCTTTCAGGAAGTTTATAGATTTGTAATTATAATTCCATTTTATCCGAAAGCGTTTGAAGTCATAGTAGTTATGGCCAAGTGTATACCAGTATCATAAACAGTAATCTATACAACCTTTTCTTCTTGATGACAAAAAGAGCTATTGGGCATATTGCTGGGTGATTAAACTATTTCAAGTCTGTAGTAAGTTGGAGAAACATGAAGAAAAAAAAACAAGGAAAAGAGTATAAACAAGCCTCGTAAGTGAAATAAATTCAACTCAACTCAACGAAGCTTTTGTTCCAACAACCTGGGGTGGGCTAGATAAATTATGTTTCTGCACAGTGTTCAATCAAAAGCATATTTTCCAAATACACCGAAAAGTATTTTGACTACAAGCTCAAAAAAAACAAAGAGAAAAGTATTTTGACTCTTTTTTAAGTCATGCAATTTGGTTTGACAAGTTTCTATCTCATGAGAGTTTCATCACAAGCAGAGCATACAATACAGAGCTTGACAGCCTCTGACAACTAAGGAAAACCTACAAACACTCACCAACAGAGTTTATTCTGATCAAATCTTTCTCTTTAATATCCTATTTTCAAGTTCATATTTACCATAAATCAAGTTTGAACAAAGATAGGTTAACATAACACTGACTAGCTAGATAGTTGAAAAAAAAAAAGAAAAGGGAAAAGCGAAAAGGAGGAGGGGGTGTGGTGGAAACACCCAAAAAAAGACTGCTTGTGCTTGGTATTTTGGTGGGCTTTCTTCAGTTAGATGAAAAATGTTTCTTAATAAACCTCTTTGAAACCTACAAGATAACACTTGCTTACCTTCCCCAACAACTAAAACAAATCCAACCACCATTAGAAAAGGGTGCACCTGTAAAACAAAGCCAAAGAAATCAAAACACTGCACATCAGACCTCAAAGCAGTATAGAAACAATCCAGTAAGTATTAGGCAACATAGGAATTACATTGAAAATCTTTGGTTTGATATGGGATTTGAAAGCGAGGCCTTCCCGGAAGTGCAAGAGCCAAACAAAAACAAGAATTGTCACCGCTATGACTATCAGATGTGCAAACACAGTGACTGGAAACACAGACAGTTGGTAGCTTGAACGACTTTTAGATGCCATTGCTGCCCAATCTACAAGAAGGGGAAGTGGTTATACGGAGAGTTAGAACTAGATGGCCTTGAAATATTCAATATATAGAAGGTGAAAATGCACACAGTTGCGAGTCCCGCACTAACTGTATTCCCAAAAAGCTTCAAAATATAGTTGAACACAAAGTGTAAGTGCACAGACATTCTTGTTTGTCAGAGAGGATAGAGCAAATTGCACTTTGATCCTCTCAACTATGACCCTGGTCTTACTTTGCTCCCTCAATTAAAGAGTTGTTACATTGTTTCAATTACTTGAAAATTGGTTTGATACGGTTCGATTCATTTTTTTGGGACAGGAAAGGAAATGTCTATATATGTAGAAAGTACACGTTTTCAACGTCTAAAATTTTGAAAATATGATTCAAATAATCATAATTGAAGATACAAAGCGAGATAGGAGATATAATTGAGGGGGTAAAAGTGTAATTTTTCCTAAGGGTAAATAGCCACAGATTTGGAGTTTGGGAAAACCTTCTGGCCGGCTATGACAAAGCTTGGCTGTCCAATGTTTTCCCTGTACGTTGGTGTGGTATTGTATAGTTTTGCGGGTTTTGGAAGCACTTGCTAGACCACATTGCCTTCACGGCTGGGCAGAGTCTGTGGTTATAAAAATGCAAACAATGCTTTTCCCAATCAATCATGGGAACTTTTCAAAGGCTATAGACTATATAATTGCCTATATATTGCATATTTAATTGGGTATGAGACAAACCTTTGCCATGATCTTTACATTCTACCAACAAAAAATTTATATTAGCTACTTTTTGCTTTTTTATATTTTTTTTAAGTTTTATCGTCCCGTGTTGTAGCTTCTCTTTCATCTCTCTCTCTCTTTTTCCTCTGATATAGATATTTGATTCAAAGGTTGTAGTGATTCATCAATGTATATAACAAATAATGTAAGGTATGGAGTCAGATCAAAAATATGCCCAGAGCTAATCCATTCAAGTTCTACGCGTTTGAATTCAAAAACCAATCCCTCCGAAAAAAAATATAAAGTTATATATCAATTACCTTTAATTATAAACAGAAATTTTGTCGCTGGACCTCATTTAATAAGGCCGAGGAGAATATGATGCCGTATGCAAAGAGCCAAGTAGTGGGTTCCACAGTTATTTTGATAGCTTGCAAGGTTCACGGATGGGGGTCCTATTAGAGTAGATATGAAAACTTAATGTTAACTCTAAGTTGGAGTCGCTGTCACAATAATAACCCCAACAAACTCGATCCTTCTAGGCTAACACACGTAACATTTTTACATTTGACGAGCACAAGATTACGAGAACTTGATGTGTCTCAAATTTAACCACTTTTTTTTGTGTGCATATTTCCTTATTTTGGTGCAAAATTAGCTTTGCTTGTGTACTTGCACCACTTGTTTTGATTTGTCGAATGAAGCTGTCTTTTAGTGCGATCTTTCTACTAGTAATTGACTCATAACCACAAATAGAAGACACATCACAACCGGCGGGGGCGGAGTCATAATTTTTTTTGGAGGGGGCTAAATAGTGGTATAAAATAATATTTTTATTTGATGTGGGTCGTTCAATAAAATTATTAATGTCAATTTTTCACATGCATAAAATATATCAGAATCAACCTTACATGGTACAGTATAATCATTACTTTTCAATAAAATAAATAAAATTAATTTAAACTAAGTCAAATGAATAGATGTAAAAATAAATCAATTCATCAAATAATTAATTATATAAGTTGAATTTTATCATCTAATTGTTCGAGTATAATTAGATTTTATCATACTTTTGGCAAATGTAGAGAGAGAGAGAGAGAGAGTGGGGAGAGAGAACAACTATCTGAAATACATATTTTAAATTGTTTTAATATATTATAATTTGTTTCTTAACTATGACATTAATTTTACTTTAACAATTCATACAAAATGTCAATTTTAATAGTTAATGGTGCAATATGGTCAAATAAAAAATTGAGAGCATAAAATAAAAGCATTATAATTTAAGGAATAAAGTATAATTTTAAGAATTTCAAGTGATATAAATATAATCAAAAATATAATTTTAAGGGTATAATATATATTATTCAAAAGTTGAGGGAGGCCATGACTCTTGACCCATAATATTAGGGGTGACAATTTTCAACGCAACTCAACGTCACGATTCGAAGTCCACACGAACTCAATTATAAATTGACACGAACTCGAAAATAACCTAACACGCGAATATGAAATATAAAAAGGTAACCCATCAAACCTGAAATTGATACGATCAACCCGTGTATTTAAGAATTTACAGTTTCTCTATTTTTTTCTTTTGTATGTAACACGATCAACATGTTTAATATTGTATAAAAAATTATTCAAAATTTAACGTTCCGTTTGGTATGATGGAAAAATGGAAAGATGAAAAGTTAGAAAGATGAAAAATTAGAGAGATAAATAAAACATCATATTCGATAAGAAATGAAAATATGAAGGATGAAAAAATGGATGAATTAACTTCCCTCTCAGCTCACTAAAATTAGTCCCTTCAAAATCTGAAGGAAAGTGGATAAAAAGTTAATTATTTGTGTTGAGATGTATCTTATTTGTCTATATATCTTTTAATGAATACATATATTATGTATACATTAATTTCATATAAAAATACAATGATAAAATATATATATGAAAATTTTTCGATTCAATACGTCGACAAAACTCGAATTCGACACAAATTTTATAACACAAACTTGATGATAACTCGACATGAACTTGAAAATGACCTGACAAACGAAAAAAAATATAAAAGGCTCATAATTTTATGACTCAATTTAAATCTGACACGATACAATTCGATTGTCCCCCTTAATCTTAGCCAGCACAAACAATTTTTAAAAAAAATTAGTTATTTTTATTTTTCATCTATCCAACCAAATAAAAAAAAGTAAAGTATATCATTTCTACTTTCCATTCTTGAAGGATAGAAAGTGTATCTCTTCTACTTTCTATTTTTTTTACCTTCCATCTTTCATACCAAATGGAACACAAGTAAAAATAAAATTTTAGCGTTAAATTTTTTATTGAAAGTTTATGAATGTCAACACGAATAAGAGCATGAACACGACACAAAAATAAACAGGTTAACTCGACACGACACGATTAATTAAATGAGTTGGGTTATGATTGATTAATATTCGACACGAATTCGCAATAACTTGATTCAAATCCGACACGACACGACTCAATTACCACCCCTATATGGCTCCGCCTCCTAGCGACCTGGAAAAATAGTGTTAGTATTAGGTAGGAAATAAAATCAGATCGCCCGTAGCCTTCTTTGTTTATTTTGAAAAGTCCAAAATTTGTGTTTTATATCTTTAAACTTGGGATTTTTTTTTTTTGTTAAACATGCACAAGTCACAAACACAAGAAATCCAAGTTACAGAAGCTAAGTGTAACTTAAACTCCAGGTTTGATAATCAACTGAATCGAACTTAGTTGGTCATCGTTCATTCTCTCAATATATCAAAATATTAGTGTCTGTCAAAGACAAGACTTGATTTCTTATATGTCTCTCTTTTGGGATTCTATTATGTGCTATGTCAGACTTTTTTTCTTTCTTCCTTGTCTCTCTCTTTTGGGATTTTATTATGTGCTCTGTGAGACCAATTTTTCACTTTATATCGTTAAACTCGAAATTGAATGATCAACTAGACTTGACTTAGTTGGTTATCCTTCATTCTCTCAAGTTGGGTGCTTTTTCCTCTTCTATAATGCATCATTCGAAGTTGTAATCTTTGATTTTTCAATATAATACCGATCTATCGTGACACATCAGATAAAAAAAAAACCTATGAGTTCGATCTCACTTCATTTCATTTGTAATTGAGCTTCTAACATCACCCTCTATTATTTGCATTGATTTTATAATTTTTCAATGTCAATGTTCGTTATCTTAAAACATCCACAAGTCATTAATTTTAGGAAAAAAAAATGAAACAAATCACGTGGTTTGAAAGATAATGGGATACAAATTTATATATAATTTGTAACGAAGATAAGCAATTTGTGTAATGTGAAATCAATGATTATAATCAGAAGAGCAATATGAAAAATAGACAATTAAGGGAACAAGGAGAGATATAGTGGGATAGTTGGAGGTCAAATTATTAATGCGTGTTGTGGTAATCCAAAAGATAATTATTGAGATTTTGTTGAAAGTTTTAGATTGTGAAGGAAGATTATAGCTCAAATTGATCATTTTAGAATGAATAATTGACATGTATGCTACCTTTATACACCAGCTAACTTTTATCCACTGACATTACACAATCATAAACTTTGAATATTTAAAAAAAGACTTAGTGGGATTCATTGATCTAACAGTTCACACTAAGATGATGTACAAATAACAAAGATACCGTAAAAAGTAGGTAAAACGAACAATATTGTTTCAGAAGATTTTGAAGACTTTTGTAGGTCGGTTATTACAGGTTTAGCTGCAAATAATCCAAATTCTGTCCATATCACCTCACCTTTATGGTCTCTAACAATCAGGTTTATTAATCTATTATTATCTTACCATGATTAAATGTATGCTTAACACATTTATTCATAACCTGCAAACCTTCTTCCTAAGCCATGACAGCAAGGTTCACAACTTCCTTATAATCAGGTGGCCTATGCTGATACAGACACAGATTCCTAGCCTTCCATATGTACCTCAATAACAGGGCCATAAGTGATTGAACATTACCAGACAGATCTTGTCTTGAAAGTGCAGCATTCATACCTTCTAGCAACCAGACTTCCATCCTTGTAATCCCAGCCTTATTAATCTGAATGTTAAGTGGAGAATGTTTCCAGACCTCTTCAGTCCATGGACAAAGGAGGAACAAGTGCTCTACTGTCTCATCTTCTACTCCACAAATAGGGCATTTAAGAGATTTCATCATCTTTCTTTTCCATAAGTTCCATTTAGTAGCAAGAGCCTGAACAGAGATTTTCCACAAAAACATACAAATTTTTTCACTTAATTTGGGGATTTAATGCGTTCAATGTTGAAATCTACTGACAATCTAATGATCACAATCATTAAGTCTCTATATTATGTCCCAATAGCATCGATCTAATTTTTTTAGGGACATGTACGTTCCAGATTATCTTTCATTAACTTTTCTGGAACTATAAAAGAGCTAGAGGCAACATTAGAACACCATGATCAACTTTCCTAGCCTTCAGCAGATTATATCCACTCCTGACTGAATACTTCCCATCTCTTGTTCCCTTCCGCCTAACCACATCCTTTCTGTATAGTTAGGATTAAAGGCAGAGCTAAAATTTCATTAGCAATCTCAGGTTTGAACAAGGAATTCACCAAGACCCTGTCTAAGGCTTTACTATCAGATCTTTCACCCACTCTAAGGAATTAGCTTGAATATTTTGCAGTTGCTTGTAACGTGGAACCCAACTATCCTCTCATATCCTAGCACCTTCAACATTTCCTATTTGCCAAAAACATCCCAAATTCAGCACAACTCTACCTTCCACTAGGCTTCTCCAAACCCAAGAAGAAGTAGCCTTTGATTTAACCTTCCGGCAAGAATCACCAGGAAAATATTTTCCTTTTAACATTCTTACCCATAAAGCATTTGGATTCATAACCATTCTTCATGCTTGTTTGGCTAGGATGGCTTTATTCATTAGTTCCAAATCTCTAAAACCTAAACCCCCCTCCTGCTTCCTGGTAATTAAGATGTTCCACTTTTTTCCAGTAAACCCTCATGTCCCCAGAGCTCTTACTCCACCATAATTTAGCAATTCTAGACTCTCTCTTTGCAAAAACCAATAGGAAACTTGAATATTGTCATATTGTAGGAAGGGATAGTCTGGACAACCGCTTTAATCAGCACTTCCTTCCCCGCATTATTTAGAAATTTCTCTTTCCACCTTGCTATTTTAGCAAAATTCCTCTCTTTAAGCCATGCTAGTGTCTGTTTCTTTGACCTCCCCCATTCCATTGCCAACCCCAAATACTTCCCAATACTTTGTATCACAGGAATCCTGAGAATAGCAACCAACTCCTGCTGAAACTCTCTAAGTGTGTTTGCACTGAATATAAATCCTGATTTATTGAGATTGCTCTGTTGTCCATAGCATAACAATACTTGTTCACTATATCAAGCAATACAAAACAGCTGGCCCAAGAAGCTACTTCAAAGAAAACTGAATCATCAGCAAACAATAAGTGTGTGAGACTAGGGCAATTTCTATTTGTTTGTATTCCCTTAATCCTACTAGACTCCATCTCTCCATTCATCAAATTAGACAGAAATTCAATAACCATAATAAAGAGGTAAGGGGACAGGGGTCTCCTTGCCTCAGTCCCCTTGTAGAGAAGAAAGTTGCAACTCTTTCCCCATTAGCCATTATATAGTACTCCACAGTGGTCACACACTGCATAATTATACCAACCCAATGCTCATTAAACCCCATCCTTAGAAAGAGATCCCTTAAGAAATCCCACTCCACCCTATCATAGGCCTTTGCCATATCCATTTTGATTGTCATGAAATATTTCTTCGTTTTCTTCCTCAACCTTGGTGAATGTAAGATCTCGTGTGCAATAATAATGTTGTCTTGGATTTGTCTTCCCCCCATAAAAGCACTTTGGTTCAATGTTATCATTTGATCTATAAGAGGTTTCAATTTGTTGGCCATCAGTATAGAGAACACCTTATACACACAGTTGCAACAGCTTATGGGCCTATATTCATTCAATTCCTCAGGTGCTTGGACTTTTGGCACCAATGTCACATTTGTTTTATTCAGAGCCTTCAACAAATATCCTGTGAAAAACAAAGCTTGTGCAGCAACCACAATGTCCACTTTAAGCACATCCCAGTACCTTTGATAGATAATCCTGAAAGTCCATCAGGTTCTGGTGCTTTGTTAGCACCCATCTCAAGCACATCTTTCTTCACTTCCTCTAGGTTTGGCACCCTCAGTAACTTCCTATTCATTGCCTCATCAACCACTCTTCGGGTGTGCTGTAAAACCATATCATAAATCCCTAACCCCTCCTGTAGAATAAATCACTGAAGTGTTGTTAGATTAAACCATTAATCTGTTCTTTCTTAATTACCTAATCAGCTTCAAAATTTCTCAACATAACCAACCTATTTCTCTGCCTCCTTTGTATAGTAGTAGCATGAAAAAACTGTGTTTTCTATCCCCCCATTGTAGTCACTTAATTCTGGACCTTTGCCCCCAGTACATCTCCTCTTGTTTCCACATTTGCCCTATCTCCTTCTGAACCTTCCCAATTTCATTATGTGAAAAGTCCTTAGCTGATGCATTCTGCATGATTGTCAATCTTTTCTTCAAAACCTCTTATCTATTTTCTTCCATGTTTGAAAGGACATGATCTCCATCTAGACAAATCTTGACTGCATCTTTTAAGATTCCTCTACAACCTGAACTGTCTTGAACCCACAATATTTTGACGCCAGCTTTTCGGAATCTCTTTCAAAAGATTCCTCTTCGGTCCAGAAAGCTTCAAATTTATAACCTCTTCTTGGCTTAACTGTTGCTGGTTCAGTATCCACAATCAGAGGAGATTGATCAGAATCCACAACAGGAGGAACTATAACCATAGCATTTGGATATTTCTCCGTCCAACTGGTACTAGCCAAGGCTCCGTCCAACCTTTCCCTGACATTGGCATGTCCATCTCTGTGATTATTCCACGTAAATCTACACCCCTTACTTTAGTACCTTCATTTTCATATTTGTCCTTAGAAATTGTTTGTTCCCATGAATACTTTCTTTCCATCGCAGAATAAATACACTGTCGCAGTATGAAGGGGCCTATCCGGTTGAACTAGAAGGCAGAGACAAAAAGACATGCACAGAAACCACTGAAACATGGTCGTGGGCTGACGACAATGGTGGTGGTGAGGGTGGTGTTGAAGATGGTAGGGTGGTGGTGGTCTAAGACAAGTGCTCACATAAACTAAATATAATATAAAACCAAAACACATGTTCCTAATTTAAAAAAAAAAAAAACAAAAATTAAACACAAAACAACACGTTAGCAAATGCCACCTTATGTTTTTGCTTTTGTTAATATCCTAGATGAAACACTCATCAGAAAAAATAAATTCTTAGCTCCTACCATTCTTTAACCAATATAAAAAGTAAATCGTACCCTCACAAGATTTTCATTTAGAACGAAGTCTATGTAAGAAATAATTAAATGGTATACATATTTTATCTTTATTTTAAAGAGATTGATTCATTGATTATTGGTTTAACCATTAATGGATTACTCCCGTCAGCCAAAATGAGCTATCGATTGAGGGCGGGAGAGAGAGGAGAAGAAGCGATCGATTGACGATTGTATGCCTCTATGCAACCCTCCGAAGGCTATGCCCTCCATTAAGATGTGGCTCGACTTTATTTGAGATCAGAATAGTGAGCGACAACACCTTGACACTATGTAAACCTTGACATTTTTTTTTTTAATCAATTAACTAGTTATATCATTGATGTACTCTAGCATTAAGTTTTCAAACCTAATAAGAATTGGTGATCTTACCCAAAAAATTATTCATGACTCAGAGATGTGGTAGACTAGTATGAAAACTCACCAAGATCAATTGTACATGGGTGGAATTGACTTAATTCTTTTTGAAGTGTTACAATTAGTATTTTAACATTTCATGGGTGGACTGATGAGCTATTACTATCACTCCATGTCTGGGGACTATTTTATATCCAATATGATTCCAATAATCATAACTAACGTTGTCTTTCTGTTAAACATTACATACAAATCTTTCGCTCAAGAAGGGATTAATAACACTTCTATCAAGTATGGATTTTTTATCAGTTTGTCCTTAAAGAATAATTTAATTAATTTAATTCTTAAATTATATTTAATTTGTATCAAAATGGTCCTTACATAGATGAAATGTTAAGTTTTTTACGAAATTATCACGTAATACTGTCCGAAAGAGTGACACGTGGTCACTTTCCGTAAAAAAATTTAAAGAATTGTTTGATAATTAAAAAACAAAGTGACACGAATTGAATAGTTCAAGGTTCAAATTGATAAAATTGATATTTTAGATATCAAACTGATAAAAAAACATAAATTTTAAAGACCAAAATTATTATGAACAATTAAAAATTCCATGACAAAGCCGAGTAACACTCAAATCAAACTATATAATCCTCCACAAGTACATAGATTAATATTCAAAAAACAATACAAATTTGCAATCAATATGAAGCGAAGGAAGATTATATATAACGAGCAAGGGCGACGGAAAGATCAACTGTAACGCCAAAGAGGAGGATTGCTAGTCCGAGGAAGTTGATCAAATGAGACTCTCTGCCGTGCTGGAGTTCCATGAATGTTGCTTTCTCCATCAAACCAGTCTCAGCTGCACATATTGCCATGTATAGAAGAGCCCTACCCCCATTTATGTGCCATGGAGCAGCTCTCCTCCTTGTTTCCCGTGAAGCTTGTGAAACCAGAAACACAGTGAACCCAAACAGCCACTGGAAAACCCAAGTTGAAAAAAGTGATCAGTAAATCAGCACATGGCATTGTTATTTGGATAATTTACACTTATCACCCCTAAAAACTATTGTTTAAAATTCAATGTGATCCTCCACTGTTGATTTTCTCATGTTATTCCCTCAACTATCTGAATTAGTGTACATTTCTCAAAACAATTAGACTCTGTTATGTTTTGGATGGAAACACACGTGATTGTTGCATAAGTTAGGCCAAAGAGTTCCTCAAACGTTTTCTGTCCCAAACAAAACAAATATTGTTTGCATGGCCAAACTGAACCAATGTAACAGTTATTATCTTCAAGTTCATGTCATATCGTCTTTGAGTTGATGGAGAAAATTGGTAAACCTGTCTTTGAGTATTAGAACAAGTTGCAATAACTGGAGAGTTTTTGGTTGTTACCTGCAAGCCAAACAAGCAGAAGGTTCCCAAGCCTATCCATGAATGCAGGCTATACATATTCATGATGTTCTGCTTATCATGGAACTTAAATACAGCACATATGCCAACAATCCCAACAACAATTGCAATTAGGTTGAATAACATGTGAATGAACTTCTGCACTGTCCTCTCTGCTGGTACTGTCTTGTAAGCCATCATGGCTGCTCTTGGAATCAGCATGAAAATCATCAATTAAATAGTGTATGTGAGAGAAAAACAAAGGAAAAGAATTGGGAATTGAGCATTACACAAGCTTCTGCACTTAAAATAAAATTTACTGTTTTCTGTTCTTTTTACCTTCCATGACAAACATTAAAACTTTAGGAAAATCTCGAGTGGAAAAGGGTAAAGTATATTTTGACCACTTTTTTATGCCTCTTTTCTCATATTACACTTGAACTATCATATTACATTTCCAACCATGTCTATTAGGTCCAACTTGCCCCTATCATGGATCTGTCTCGCCCGAACAATGTGGCCTTAAAACAGAAAGGTGTGAGATAAGACCATAGTTTAAAGATACAAAATATAATTTGTCATAAAGAAAAATAATACTAGTTTTACCTTGACCAGTAAAAAAGATGAACCCACAGAACATAAGAAATGGGTGAACCTGTACAAAAAAATTATTAACCAACAAGTAAAACATTTATTTACTCCAAGAAATGATGAAATTGTGCAAATACATTAGCAAAGGCTAGGGGTGTAAGCTGATTGAGAAAATGATTTTCTTACATTGAAAATACGATCTGCTTTGTTTGAATCAAGGTCAATACCGCCGCGATAATGCAGTAACCAAACAAGCATGAGAATAATAGCTATTATCCCAAACAAGTTCGCTAGCACAGTTACACGGGAGGCTGACTGATGATACGACGGATCCATGGCAAGTTGGGAATGGGGGTGTTAGAGTTGGATGAGGGGGAAGAAAGATGGAGTTAATATAAAATTTATTTGCTTTCTAGTCTGACTGTTGTGTTCAATGTGTATATATAGCCTTTTGAAAAGCCAAAAGGGAACGAAAATGTACTTTGGATTGCTTGGTTTGCAGGGTTTGGTATTTGAGTGAGGAAACTTTGGGCTTTAGGAAGGTATAATAGAAGGGAACCATGCTAAATTTAAGACCCCAAAGGATCAATACTGGTTTACAAAAATAAAAAAAATGAATCCACACTTCTCAAGTTCGAGTTTATGTAACGGCATAAACTCAAGTTAAACAAGCACGTATATATGGTTTATGAATTTTTTGTGCATCCGCGCTTTATATTGCAATTTTTAGTCTAAAGAATGCACGATTGAAACACTTATGTGTCATCCAAAAGAACAAAAAACAAAATAAAAAACACTTGCAAAGAAAACATTTGGCTATGGATGAGTTTTATGGTATCCAGTTTTTATTTTTCGTTACTATACCGAAATATAATTTTTGATTATTGATCTTACTTGGTTATTTGTAGTTATTGAATGTGAAAATAATAAACTAAAGTAAAGCAATTGAATAATAAAATTCTACATGAACTGCTTTATCATTGGTCAAAAAAGAAGTATAATACCAAAAAATTACATTTCGGTATCATAGTTTAACGGCACGCAATTGGCCTGTCAGATACTGATTTCTCGCAAGTTCAATAGCTACCTCACTATATTCCTAATCACCAATTGCTTTGAATTAGAAATATAAATTGGTGATGAACACAAGCCTTGAAAGATTCGAACCTCCATGAGCTTTTGTAAGCAAATTTAAGAAACAAAAGAAGAAAGAACATATGGATTGACAAAAGAAAGAAGCATCAATTAATAAAGAACCACAAGGGAATAGGATTCAGCTCGTCTGCTGTTCAGGAGGAACAGCAGGCCCTGCTGTTCGGGAGAAACGGCACCGTTTGGTGTCTTTTTTAAAAAAATAATGCTGTTAGGGAGGAATGGCACCATTTGGTGCCTTTTTGTTATAAACCAATCAGACCCACAAAAATTTAATAAACACACACACACACACACACATATATACACATACACATACACATACACACCCACAAATTTACATTTTTATTAGTTGAATTTTTTTGACCAAAATTTAAATTTTAAAATTTTGAATCTTCAATTGTTTTGTTAATTTCTTTGCTCATTATTAAATTTTATGATATGATTTAATTATTATATTTTGATTTGTTGTTAATTTATATTGATCGTGGGTTCGAACCTCATCTCCACCTTCTCCATGTAACATACTGTTCAAAAAAAAATTAAATTGAAACTTGTTTTAGTGTTGACGGAGTGTTAGAAATTTTTGGGTCTTCGATTTCGGCATCATTTTAGGGCTTGAATTTTTGGGTCTTCGTCTTCGGCTCCTCTTTGACAATTTTAGGGCTTCAATTTAATTTTTTTTTAAACAATATGTTACATGGAGAAGGTGGCGATAAGGTTTGAACCCACGATCAATATAAATTAACAACATACCAAAACATCACAATTAAATCATATCATAAAATTTAATAATGATCAAAGAAATTAACAAAACAATCGAAGAGTCAAAATTTTAAAATTTAAATTTAGGTCACAAAAAATCTAACTAATAAAAATGTAAATTTGTGGGTGTGTATGTGTATGTGTGTATATATATGTGTGTGTGTGTGTCTTTATTAAAGTTTTTGGTGGGTCTGATTGGTTTAAAACAAAAAGGCACCGTTCCTCCCTCACAGCATTTCTTTTTTAAAAAAGGCACCAAACGGTGTCGTTTCTCCCGAACAGTAGGGCCTGTTGTTCGTCCTGAACGGCAGACGAGCCGAATCCCAAGGGAATAAAGCAAAGAATGATGCTACAGCTATAGTACAAATAAATAACAGGTAGCTGGAGTTGTGTGAATAAGGGCGGAGCTACTAACGGTCACCCTAAAAAGTTTTAAATTTTTTTTATACATATGCATGGTTGTATATGTTTTAGACGTTACTCACATATAATACATTGTGCCCAACTTATCACTCTCATACTTCAATAATGTTTTTTGATACTACGAGTTACAATAGGTTTATGTACATGCATGGGCGGAGCTACACAGGTGTTCTCAAGCTTGTTGTGCATTGCAAACACCTTTTTTGTACAGGTTTTAATATATTTAGGATTTGTCGTAGTTGTTCCAAAACCTACTATGGTCGACGGAAAAATTTAAATCGACAGACAGTTTTCAAGTGATTATTTGTGACGTATTTTAATGCCTTGTTTCAAGACTTAATTTGATTAATTTAATGGATAAACACACAATATAGGAAACTAATAAAAGATGACTTTTTTATTAATTCAATCGATGAGACTTCAGATACAGAAAAACTGAATAAACAGTCTTGATTGCAACATTAATTACTTTTTAAAACTAATCTAAACTCCTAAAATGCCCATATTAGATCTTGTAGGAGTATGAGTGTTTCCCTCATCTTTTTCACCACATGCCCTTTTACAGTCATTGTCCTCAACGATTTTTGCTTCCATCGATAGTTATGTGACTACTAACTTTCAGTTAGTTTTTCTTCTTATCAAATGTGATTGTGGTTGATCATCTCTTACTTTTCTTCAGATTTTGCACGTGGCATCTTCTCAATATATTTAGATTGTCATATGTCAATACATTGAACATTCCTGAAATTTTATATTTTAAGTCCAAACAATACCCTCTCATTTAATTATATTTAATTAATACCCAAATGAATGAATAGTCACGACCGTCGTTTTCTTCAAAACACCTATTTAAAGAGTTTTGGCATTTGAACTGTTTATTTCACTTTCCTTGTTTTGCTATCTGGTTCCTATCTTCATTTTCCTCTAGCGATCATTCTTTCTAGTGCTTGAAAGGGCCCCAAAGAAGCAAAACCCTCCACCATCATCTTCATCAGAAATCTCTTTCTCACAAAGGTTTCCTACTGATATTAAGCAAATAGCACATGATTCGGTGGATCACAGGATTCTGATTCCTACCCTTAGTTCTAGTGGGATTCTTGCTCTTGACCATTCCTTCAAGTCATATGTCTACGAAGGGTTCTTGGACCACTACCCTGTTCACGAAGGTGAAACCTTAACGCTGAATCAAACCTAACTTCTATGGAAATCCTGGAATTAGGGAACTAATCCTCTTCATTCATGGACTAACCCGGATCAACGCTGGGCCGATTGCTTTGCAAAGTTAGAGCCTCATTTTCCCCTTTAATGGAGATGCTCACGTATCTTTGAAATGATTAAGTTCTCCACTTGCAAAATGCACATGAATTGGTGGCTAATTGGTATTGTCACATGTTTCTGGTCCTAGTCATACAATGGCATCCTCCTTGTTGGCATAATGTCCCCAATAATACTGAACATTGTTTATCTAACAGGACTTCCATTGACAAGTATGGAGGTAAATGCTTGCATTTCTACTGATACTGGTCATAATTTTGTCAATAGCCCTTCCCGTATATGGTATATTGAACTCATCAATCACTTTTTCGCCTCTGAATCCCTTAACCCTACATGAATTTTATAAAAAGTGTGGGTTAAAGTTGGATTTATGAATATTTGCATGGAGTTTAAATTGTGATAAATAAACTCAGGAAAGTTGAGCATGTTTTAATTGAGGAATATAATTGTGGAATTATGAGGTGGTGGGGAGCAAAGTGGAATTTTGAAAGTGTTGGGAATTATTGATAGGTTAAATAAAGAGATAAGAAAAACATGAGGGGACTTTAGTGTAATTGGGATAACTCTTGCATGAAAAGGACATCCGACATGTGTAGCTTCTCCAACTTTGAGCCTTGGGGAAACATATATAGGGGAGGGGAGAGGGGGAATGCTTCAGGCGGTGAGTGGTAGGAAAGAGAAGAAGAAAAGAAAAACAAGAAAAAGGGAAGAGAAGAGAAAAAGCTTAAGGGTTTTGGAGAGTGAGATTCGCCAGAGTTCATGTATTCTTGAGTGAGAGAAACCTTCTTCTTTGAGAGTTGTGTGATCTTTGATTGTGTAAAAGAGTGAAGTAGAGTTGTTTTGAAGAATTGAAGACGATTCAAAGCTTTTGGGTGAAATTCGAAGGAAAACAGAAGGAACTAGGTCACAACGGAGGTAAGAAATCTTTATATTTGTATGTTTTTCTACTTCTAAATATGTCCTTGAGGCTTGGGTAAATTTGGGTAGAATTAGATTTGAGGTTGGGTGGAAGAAGATAAAGTTTGAACCAAGTTCTAAAATTTGGAATAGGGTTGAACCGATTGAACAGAGTGCTAGTTGCACATCAACCGATAAAAGGGTGTGTTGAACCAATTGATCAAAGTACTGGGAAGGTTTCAACTGGTTGAAGGGTAACTATCAACTGGTTCATCAGAGTGAACTTTAGAAAATTTGTCGTGATGTTCTAGGCTCTTAATCAATTGATCTAAGACATTTCTAAGATATTCAAAAGACTTTGAATGGGTTCTTTGTGAGTATTATGAGTTGCATATACATCATTGGGGAAGATAAGAAAATTGTTAACATGTATGTGGATAAACATACATACATGCATGATAAAATTAAATGAAAATGCTAGACACTTGCTTGTGGAATATTATAGTATATGATAGGAACTGAGACGTTAATGTCTACATCAAAGGCACCGATTGAGAAATAGATTGTGGTGTTTCAAGACTTGAGGTGAATGAATTTTTTCCTTGTGGTTTATAATAACCAAGGTATACTGCTACACCTTCGAAAATGCAAACTAAGCGTAAGTTGTGCAAAGTAATATATTTTCGGTTCCCTGAGGTCAAACCTCAGAAATTGCAAAAACAAAAGAGTCACAGAACAAATTCAATAAAAGAAACTTGTTGAAGAATTTTCTTGGAAAGATGTTCCACTTATTAAGATTAAGAAAAACTGATTAAAACAATAATTAAAATACTAAAGCGTCAGAGATACCCTTTCAAATCCATATGGTAATTATTAATAATCCAATTTTTAGACACAACTGAGAATC